CTTGGAGCCCCAGACAAAACACTTGAACTTAATGCTTTAGGTTGTTCTCACATATGCAATACGCTAGGCAATACTACTGTAGTTAACATTGAAATAAAACTTCAGTGACAGTCAAATATTTATATTTTTGGTAAAAAAAAATCAATATTTCTATACAAATCGCCTTAATTCTAATTGTATGCCTTACAGTGGATACAAAGCCGAATCATTATTTAATAAATACATTATAGATAAGAATAGTTGAAATTACTGTAATTTTAATGAACACTCGAATATCGACACAGTAATTACAATGAAATAAAACGTGGTATTTTTCGAACTATCCATTTTTACATTACAGCGACAATTAACAAACAAAACAAATAAAATTACTTACTTCTTGATTAATTCACACAAAATTGTATTAAATCTCTTCAAAAACAAACTAACAACAAGAGTAATTATAAAAAAATAAAGCATAAATGTACTAAATGGTAACCGCAGCCTATTGTCATGCTTTATAGTAAATAACCCTACAATAAATATAATACTTTTGGATGTGGATCTTATTTTCAAAAAATAAAGTAATTTTTTTATTTTTTCATTATTTATTGGAAACACCCTTTTCAAACCTTAGAGTAACCACCTGTGTGATTTTTTAATAACCAAGAAAATATACTCAAATTCTCATACCATTTAAATTTATGTAATTACGTGAAAACCAATCCGTGGCGTTAAGTGACTGCTATAAAGCGGGGCGGTGTTAAAGATTACAGTACCTAGCAAAGTTAGTTTAGTGGACCTCATTACTTACAGCCGATTTCTGAATTGAATTGAGAAAAGTACAATATATCTCAACTGATTGTTCTCAATTACTTAAGTTCTTTACGTTTCAAGTAGCAAAAGTTCTAGTTTTATTAAGCCGCTATCCGTTGATCATTAAAAAAATAAAAATAAAAAACGAAAACCTGTTTAAATAACGTTTAAAATGGCTTAAGTACGATTCGAGACGTGCTTAACTTTAAAATTTCAATTCAGAAACCGGGTGTGGGTGTGCCTGCGCCGCTTAGTAACGCGTCCAAGCGCGCTAATTAACGATCCCTATGCCTAATGGCTGAAGTTTAAAAACAAGACTTTTCAAGAGACGCTCGTAAAATTTCAAAATAACATCTTTTAAAAGAATAAATATCTCCTTGTTCTCCTCTCCTCTGACTTGTGCAGCTATATTTAATGTTTCAAAACGTATATTTTGTTTTGTTCCAATTTTACTTTCACAGAATTCTCTTGGTTTAATTCTTAGTTGTCGTCATTGATTGATCAAAATTCTAGACTTGTTACACAATTATTCAATATTTAATTAAGTGTTATACAATTAATTAATTATTTAATAATATATAAATATACATAATTAAATTAAATGTTCTACGTATAAATTTGTACGAATTTTCATTTATGGAATATCTTAGAATACATTAAAATACGCATTATATATATAAAAACAAAGCCAATAGACCGAGGTATCATCACCAAGCAAATTAAATGACCATAACGATGATTATGGCCGGCGCTTCAATATTACGAAATAAGTGCACTTATTTAATAAAAATAGAAATAATTTGAGCCTGTATTGAAATTGGAAATGTGTACTTACCAATATAACTGTATATATACATTACTATCAAGTATTCGTCATTTCAACTACTGATTAGGACTTATCAAAACATAGTTAACTCGATTCCTTGCAGAATACATTACTACAGTATAATTATATAAACTATAACGGTAATATTTTGTTCTATCTATTTTGACACTCGAAGACGAAATTTCAGAATATTTCAAATTATAACTATCTATATATTAATAGTGAATTACATTTCTAATTAAAAGTGAGCAGATTTATAAATTTCGAAATTGTGTGCCTACATTGTCTTCGGGTAATCAAGAAAGTGGAAATATTACAAAAATTGCGAAAAACATCACCGAATCAGAAAATATTTTTAAGCATTGAAATGGGCATTTTTGTATTAGTTTGTTTGTTTAACGAAGGAATTTCTGATTGTTTTAAACATTTCCACCTTCGTATTAACTACAGGACACATTAACATATTTATAATAGAAATACATACATATTATATATATCGGAGCACCGATTATAGATTACACGAGTCACCTTCGCTTAACGCATATATTAAAATACTTATACGATCCACGTTATGCGTAAAAAAAATGCTAATTCAAAATAGTAAATACAAAAATAAATGTATAACTCTCTTTAGACCTAGAGTTTAAGATATAATTCCACAGTAATAAACTAAATATTTACTAACATATACTAGAACTTGTCTCTGTACTATGATAATAGGATAAGAAATATATTCTACACTCGGAGACTTCAACTCGTTCGATTCAGGCAATATCGTAATCGTATATTGTTTTAAACTTCCAACTTTAATAATAGTTGTTCACGGAATTACTAAACATTAATGCACCTTCATGAAAAATACTTAAAAAATCGACTTTGTCCCTGGTACTCTGAGATGAAACAATTGAGACTGACTGACTAACTTACTCATTACAAATATTTTCCAGTATAGCATTGTGAATTCAAAATAAAATATAATAAATACCTTGTTTTAATATCATAGTAGTTTCCGATAATGTTAATTCAATTAATGGGCTGATTATGTTAAATCACCATAATCAGCCCATTAATTATCCTCAATACTGCAGCACAGAGACTAGAATAGGACCTATCTAAAGATATTGACAATTAAACTCAAAATTGCAAAAATAATATTTCAATGTTCTTCGATAAATATGATAGCAGCTTCGTAAACCAACAGAGACTGAAGATTATTTCCCACAAAAGCGATATCTAAAAGAAAATTTATTTAAAAAGAACATCGCTCTGACTTAATAACGTTAATGTTGACTCAAAAACGAGGCCCGGAATGATATTATTATACTCTATACACCATCCAATTGAATATAGTTTCCTACCTAAATACCAATCTCTTTGTAACGTGTAAAATTAGCATCGCGCCTTATAAAATAAGACTAGATTCCGAGTTAAGAGACAAACCATTGAATATTATTAACGTTGCTTATTGTCAGTAATCAAACAAACTCACAACTCATATTTTAAACAGCAATATGATAAAACATTAGAATTTCAATAGCTTGCTGACAATCGACCGTTATTATCAATTTCATGTATTTCTCCCAAAAATGTTTTATATATATTTAATAGGAAACCCTGCATTGGCAAAGTAAATTCATTATGGTTTATCATATAATCTCAAAAACATAAGATGTTAAATGAACTTAAAAGTATTATTGTTAAATATAATATATTCATCTCACTAGCTTTTTAGTCTTAAATTGAAAAGTACAATTGGGCAGTGAAATAATAAATTTCACTTCGAATCTACATCAGGTACATTCAAAAATGAAAAAAAAAGAAAAGAAATTTCAAGCACGAAAATTTTCTTTATGTTTAAATGGAGATCATAAATTGATGATACCTGTACATATGTTACAGAGTATATTACTCTACCATTTCAATTTATAATTATTTCAAATAATTTTAGGCTCTGAACACTTAAGGCTCAAATTGCACCGCCACGGAATATAATGGAAGTTATTTTTTGCGAAATTGTACTTAGCATTATGAACTATATCACAATTGTGTTACATATAAACTAAATATGAGCCAAAAAAGGTCACACATCTAGAATTTGCCGAGAGACATCCGACTTTAGTTCGTATTTAGTATGTATGTTATAAAATTGACATAAAATTTATTATGCTATATACAATTTCGTTACAAAAAGTCGCTTCCATTCCATAACGTGGCGGTGTAAACTAAGCCTAATTCTTGACACGGCTTTAGTGTTACATAGTATATATTACCATTCATAATAAGTTTTAAATTTACGAGATACTATACACAACAGTGCATCAACTTAGGACTGAACGTCAAATATCGGCATTAGATTTTGAATTTAACTATCAAAAAATCACGAGATATTTTAGTTTGACCTAATGCGGTGTTGGTTATATACATTAATTCTTACAGCTCGTTTTGCTAAACATTGGTGTTCTAAGTGTACGGCGACTTTTTAAAAACAAAAATACCTACTTGTCAATAGAAAGAAATAAATGTTTTATTTTACATAATATGCAATCGCTACACTTAAAACACTCGAAATATATTTCATTATCATGATAAGAATTAATATTAAAAAGAAGAAGGAATACAGAAACCATAGAATAATTGCATATTTTTTTAAATAAAATCACTATTTCATGTTGAATGTTTGAGTATAGTAATCTTGTTTCACATTGAGACTGCTTATTTTTTTTATAAAATTCGATCTTGATTATTAGCATCTGTTACCCCCACAGAATAGCTGATATATGGTCAGTTGCACAAACGTCCATTAAAGTTTAATGACGTCTTTAAGCTCTAATGAATGTCATATTTGTATGGGTAATGCCGCTTTAAACTAATATAATATTTAATGTACGTTACGTGCAACTGACTGTTACTAATGTGGGTGTAATCGCCGCTAGATTAGGAACCACTGTTATATAGGCATATAAAATGTTGTCAGAATAGAAAAAAAAATCTCCGGTGTAACCTGTAATACTTGTTAAATACAAACGAAGAAACGAAATACCCTATGGAGTATTACTTGCAAGTATCATGTATGCTTTCCTTGTAAGAATCAATATTGACACATTTCTCAAAATTAAACAAAACACCACTGATATTAAAATTCTTAAAAACTTTGAGAAAAATATCACTTCGAACTTATGACACACTCGTTTGATGCTGTATGACACTTGACTGCTGAATTATGTCACAGTGGTCTTAGCCTGAGTTACAGGGATTGTATGGTGACTGCTACATATTTGTGCCCGTCGCTTGTTCATATATCAAAAATATCACTTCGAAGTTAACTTATGACACTTGATGATGTTGTATGACACTTAACTGATGTATGTTGTCAGTGTTCTTAGGCTAAGTAACCAGGATTGTATGGTGATTGCTTCAAGTGCGTGCCCGTCGCTTGCTCATATGAAGGGGGGAGCGCTGTAAAAGAAACACGATCATAAATATAATTAATGGTATTTGATTAAAAATAAATGGGAAAATATATCACATAAGTACTAATAACACATCACATAGTACATTACGTACCTATCTTTACCTTCTTCTAAAATATTCTCTTAAGTAGGGTTACCATATCTCAGATCCTGAGATATTAAAACTATTAATCTATCCAGGATTGCAACCGGATTTAGGATATCACTGATTTTTTGAGTATTCAATAGTTTTTAATGTCAACCAATATTTAATGAGTATGAAAAATAAGGAAGTTGTACGATTTACAATTATTTTCACATTTAATTGAATATACTAAGCGAATTTAAGCTTTGGTACACACAGCAGCATTTCCTAGTTGCAACAAAGTGTGTAAATTAAGCCATTGATTTTAAGCTACAACTAATCAATAGAAGAGGTTTGTCAATTTTGGCTAAATAACGTACTATTGGCTGTACCTCTGATTTCACAAATCAATTGTTTAAAACTGTTAATCTATCTACCATAGTGTATGTAATTGAAACTATTTGGTGAAGAGATTAAAATGAAAAAGTTGTTGTGCATCTAATTACTACAGTAAGGTGCAATCTAACGCATGGAGAATCTCCGTTTGTGTGACATACGAAGACATAAGAGCAGATATACTAAAAGGGAATATTAGGCAAAGCTCTACATAGATGGTAGAAATGATACATGTAGATAAATTGGAAATTAATGATTCGCTTACTTCTTACTTTGGATAAAATTACATTCTAATTACACGTCAGGAAGGGGAAGGGGTCGACGAAGTGTGACATTAGAACAATATTTAGTAGGTACCATTACAGACCGAATCATCAATGTTCAGGCCCTCAACCCAAACAGCCAAAGAAATATTTTTACAAATAGTTAAATTTTCGATAGCAGCGGAAAAGTAACAAATGCTTGAAAAATTCATCATTAGTTCAGTCAACCAAATTACGAAGGTCGTGGGTTCGAGACTCATCCCAGAGCGCCAGGCACAAAGTGGATTTTTTAAGCATTTTTCATTAAGATTATTTAGTAGAATTGATATAGACAAAGTGTGACAGGAGGGGAAGGGGGGTTAAATTCATGAATTTTGTGTGACGTTATTTATGGAGGGTCCCTAATTGGACGTTGATAAGCAATAATATTTCAAGCCACACAGACAACATTTTGAGAAAATGGCGTCGACGGATGTATTAATGATTTGTTTTATGATGTTCATGTGACTTAAAACTCTTTTGTTTAAAGTTTATCATAAAATAATATCATAAATTGTACATAAAAATCTCCAAAAGCAACATTTTGTGACATTATTGCTTATCAGCGTCCATTAATAATCCTAATAAATCGCACGTTGAGAATGACAAAGTCACTAACAAAAAACAACGTATTTTTTACTTTTGGTAACATTTTTCTTTGTTATGTATAAACTTTGAAATACCAAGATCTCTGTGAACGTAGTTTGCATAGAAACTGCTAGGTGGCGCAGTGACGATACGTTGTTTAATGGGCGGAATACAATTTCTTGAACTTCAAACGCTTATTAATGAAAATCGTATTTTTTGCATTGTGTCACTATCGTTCTCAGCGTACGAAATATTAAATTTCTACTATTCTGACTACGCTGTGAATGACGTATGGTGTTCATAAAAAAACGTTTACGGAATGTGCTAGTGCTGCAATCTTGTGACAGAAAGTTGCAGTGATATGTCCTTTTCCGACGATGACCGAAGGCGAGATTAAAATGTATAATGCCCTTGTTGCAATAACCACAAGGTGTAAAATACAACGCGCTACTTGAATAATTTTATTCACCAGGATTTGACAAGCAAATTTTGCGATCTGCCTACATTAATGAGCCACATTCATTTTTTCTTACTTTATTGTATTGATGTGACTAAAAACCTTATCGTTTTGATACAAAGCCGTTGGAAAAAATGTGTCCTGCATGGAAACTTACCTCGTATGTAATTACTATGCCAGTGTAATTATTAATGCAGTTATATACAACAGATATCTACTACAATACGCAATATGTACTTGCAACTACAACTGTATTTTCAAGTGATCTCATACACTGATAATGATATCGTTTATGATAGCTGTTGATTCATTAAGCATTAGTCGATGAATCATGCTTGCTATACTGATTTTATTTATTTATTACAAGTGATTTTATTGAAAAACCAGGGCTTAATTTAGCGACCGTGTGTGACTTATATCCTGTAAGAACCACTTTATCCAATGTGTATGCTTGAATAAACAGTGGTTATCAAAGACATCTCTTTCTACACCCTACACAGGACCCACTTACTCTTTAACATTAAGGCACTCTGAATAAAAAAAGATCATCGAACTCTTGCCTCATAAAAAAAATCTACAAATAATCTGTATGGCGTACTAGGCTGTACATTAAGACTTCGTAAGTAAGTAGATCACCAAAAATAATATACTTAATCTATCAAGTTGCCAGACTATCACTATTTGCTTACTTATTTATCATTACGGCTCAAATAACAAGTAAATAACGCAATGTATTTATTCTAAAAATTGATAGCACAAGGTCAACTAAATTAAACTACAAAAGTGATAGCATGAACCATTCTCTATCAGCTATAAAACTACTCATTCAAACTTTTTTCTAAGACTATTGGCTTCAACACAAATTAGAAATCTACCTAATACAATATTCACCTTGTGTGTTCCAGTCAGGTGCTGGAGGTCCATATAGCGCTAAGCGTAAACGTAAAAGATTTAATGTTAGTTATAATTGACAGTATAAATAGTATAAACTATAATACAATTATTAGTTACAAACTATAGTGTGAATGCACTCGAGCACCTACCCAATCAATACCTACATGTGGTGAAACTTAAATCAGCGACATCTATATCACCGAGCTAACATCGCCACAATAATTTAAGATTTGGCTAGTTAATTCATTCAGTAACAAGATGGTGGACTGAGGTGCTGCAGCCTGTATCGCGCTTGCAAAGTTTCTTCGTCACCTAAACACATCAACGATCGCTATGCAACATACAGTGTGCATGAACAGAATTTCCCTACGAAGGCAGACAACCTTTGTTATCATAACTAGGCCAGGATTTGCCGCACTTCCAAATTCAGCCTTCTGCGCAGTTATATTAATGAATAATAAAATATTATCGTTTTGATACACATTTAATCTAAATACCTATATGGCATAGTATTAAAGTGTCAAAAGAGTTAATACCTAATTGAATTTTATTTACAGACCCTTGATTTTTAAGTTAAAATGAATACATGTATAATAATTTATGTGTCAGTGCAATTAGGATATCAATTAACTTAATCGTATATCATGCATTAAAATTAGATTAACAAAATATTTACAATATACCTATTTAATAATGATAATCAATTTTGAACTTAACTATCAACAAAATAACGCTTAAAAGAGATTTGAGAACTTGTCCTTTTTTTGTTGTAACCTGGCATGTTAAACATTGTACAGTTATTATTGACTGTTGGTCCAAAACTATAAATACACTTCAATGATTTTAAGCCTTAAAACATCAGTAATAAAGTGCAAAATAGATTGCATTGTAATAAATTACCTAACGTGGTTAAATGTGATCGTTTGGCTTGTTAATGTGAGTTAATGTATTTTAAATAAAATAGTGTGTGACATATGAAGTATTCTTACCGTTGAGGTCGGGCGCGGTGGGCGCGTGGTGATGTGGCGCGGGCGCGGACGTGTTCTGTAGCGGGTAGGGAGGTATTACTACAGTCGCAGTGGAGTGCCCCGGTAGCGGCATCTGTACCGCGTATGTAGACGGATGGTACGGTGACGATACTACATAAAAGATAAGACAATGTTAAGCCACGTCACTGGAAAATAGCAAACGAGGCACCAGTGCACGAGGTTCCTCCCGACTGGGAGGTGCCACAGGCTGGGCTTAAACCCTTTCCCAAAGTGAGTACACTCACTTATAAAGATTTGCTGGATATGGCAGCCGCGTTTTGATAAACCTTTGAGCTGATTCTTGCAGCTAGAATAGAAAACCCCAGACAACTCTGCTGCCAGACGAAAGGGTCGATGCAATAATAGAGCCCCTAATGAAGATAAATAATATAAAAAAGAGGCAAAGGTTTGCAACATGTTATGACTTTTTTCGTCTAGGAAATGTGTTGTTGTAAATACGGCTGCCGTCTGGCTAGCGACAAAAGATGTATTGGACTCTTCACCGTGGGTAGCACGATCATCACACCACCCAGCAAAACATGATATGATATTACCTAATCAGTTGAACGATAAAAATATATTTTACAGCAAAAACCAATACTTATACACGACGCTAGATGTACTCAATTTATAAATTTTAAGTTGGCGATGAAAATCATCTACAATAAAAACATTGTTGATCACTAATCAATATATGAAATAAGTAACATCATGTTATATCGTTAATCGTGAGGTAACTATTGCAAGCTAATTGTCAATAAACTTTCTAATAACCTCTTATAAATATTCTGTTGATGTGAATCACGACGGCTCAACCAGCTTTTCGCTACAAACAAATGCTAACAAACCAGCTAAACATTTCACAGACATATTTTTGAATACCTACGTAAGAACTTAAAAAACATTCTTCATGGTTGGTATATATGTATAAATAAAATATATAGTGACCATAATTTTTTCTACCTTTTCAACATTAAGCGTTATACTACTCGTACATACTTTCAAATCACAAACTGTACTACTTACTGTAATATAAAACTAGAACGAAATTCTTTACGAATTAGTCCGTTCATATACTTTTGTGAAAATACATTTGGTATTTCTTCGAATTTATAATGTTCTGGCAATATCTGTGATTCAGTCACAGAGACACAACGTTATAATAATATGCAAGGATATTATGCAATTTCCTTTGTATGCAACTATTTGTTCGTAGTAAAAACTAATATTTGTGAATGCAAATATTATTTATACTTAGTAGATCTCGGCAAAGCGACTTCAAGTAATCGTAGATAACATTTCCTATCAACATACATATCAACATTTACTTTTATCATAACCAAACATAACACATTCACTCTCAAGGACATATCTATTACGTAATCTAAAAATATAAAACTGACGTAATACCACTGCGCCTCTTCAAACTACTGCGCTTTTATAGTGTAAGCGAATATAAAGGATTCTGTATGAAATTTCACTCAGGAAATAGAACCCCACTCATGTTATCCAAGCCGGACATTGCAACTAAATTTAAACAAAGAGCGTCATAACTTATCTTACTGTTTTAATTTGTTATCGGCTAAAGATAATTTGTTTTTTTTTCACATATTCACACAAACTATCAAATATTTGCGTATGTAAATTTGTTTAGCTTTTAAACCATTACCGTATAATGTGATATTTCATATTAGGTAACGATATTTGTTCAACAACCAACAAGACAGCTTAAGCATTCAAAGTACTTTAAAATGCATTAAATAAAACAAAAATATAATGTGTTTAGGTTCATAAAAGTAATTTTCAATAATTTTATATATGTCCTTAATAGACGAATAATTAAGAACCTGTGTTCCTCAAGGTTCACTATTCGGACCACTTTTACATTATTAAAAGAAATAAGTATGTTGCCGTTCTGATTGTAGTAATAAAAATAAATGAACTAGAAATGAAAATGCTACCTACTACCCAACTACAGCTGCCCTTAATTGAAGATTAAAGTTAAAATAGATTAAAACGTTAAAAATATACAGACCTGGATAAGCCGCTACGAACTGCTGTTGTGGATAAGGTGCCGTCGTAAGCGGCCCTGGCGGTGCTGGGGGCGGAGGTTCTATGAAAAATAACACAAAGATCAATATCTAAAAGTAATATAAATGAGAAAAAAAAGAGATAACCAAAACTCAATTTCCATATAGTATTAAGAATGATTTGGCTATGTACCTACTACACGTTACAAACACACGTGAGAACATTATTTTTCACAAGGACATTCCATTATAATACTTTTCCTATTATTATCATAGCTATAAATGCGAAAATAAAGAATTTTTAAATCGTGTTGTTATAACTCTTTATATGTCGAACTTATTAATGACAAGAGAATATATGGTGTAGGTATATAGGGCGACATAGAACAAATTGCAATAATTACGTTACTTTATTTTATAATTCAGCAGACATAAAATCCTCTTATGTAAAGTATTGCTGTCAAGTTATGTCGTATCTATTTTATATTCATGCACGAGAGAGCACGATTCAGATCCGATATATCTCTGAGAATTTACACGTTCGTGACAATTTAGCGATAATACCAAATAACATTTCAATAATATAAAAAATCTACTATATTCAGGCAGTCATATACGATATTTACTGTCCTTTTGCTCATATAATTTGGCAAACTCAAGACGGTCACAGTAAAAAATGTAACTCATAATATTTAACAGTACATATAAAATTACGTTTTGTTTCATTTAAGGGCTTCGGGTAAATATTTCATTTCCAAAAGTACTCTATCGTAAAAATATTTCGAAACAGCTAACTTTGAAAATATTATTCGGTCAGTGATTTTGATATAAAGACAAAACTACAGCCCCGATTTCAATGTAAAAGACTGATGGAGCCGTTTCCGCACTGTACTCAATTGAATAAAAAGTACCTACGTTAATGTATAATGTATAAGAGGCAAACCTGACTGACTTTAGAACCAGCGGGTTCGAATGACCGCCGAAACTAATGTAGCTAGAAACTGGAAATTAGCACTAAGAAAGGGTTGGTAGAAATTCAATTCCTAAGGGTGTGAAGTTTATAAATGAAGCACGCGGGTGAAGCCGCTGGCGGAAAGCTAATCGGTTCATAAAAGACGAAGTTATGATAAAATATATACATATTCGGTAAATACACAAACAAAACCAAAGTCGAAGTTCTTTACATCTTTATTAATATACCTAATAAAAATAGAACAAAAATAATAAACAAGTAGCACCAATACATTTAATTTCAACGGCTTTTTAACTAAAATAACATCGATTAGCTACTTTCTGTATCTAAAATTAATTATGAATACAAGGATAGACCGAATAAACAAAATGATACTAATAATTAAATCAGTCAGCGCCGCAATTTTCTAAGTCTGTATCTATACATGTATGTAGTATTGAGGAAAATAACGAAGGAAGAATATATTTACACATTCTACAGTTATTTATTCATCAAAATAATATGAAAGAAATAATGATTGACTTTCATATTATAAACAAAACGTGTGTCATCAAAAAGTTATAATTCCAAAGAAAGACAGAAAGATTATGTGAAATGAAAACTTCTATAAGTCGCCAATAAAACTCGATTATGGTAAAAAAAAGGTATTTAAAAGGTTTTTTCGCGTGTATTTTTGAACAAGTCTTATACATTTTTCAGACATTCCTTCCTCTTGAGAGGATCCTTGTACTGTGTACACTAGACTAAGATTTTGGTATCCAATAATTATTAAAAATCATAGCTACTTTGAAATACCAAGCAGATATCCCGAAGGATATACGTATGATTTCGAAACATCTAAAGAATTAATAATTTTTAAAAATAATTCTATTTAATGAGTTGTCGATTTAATGAATTGTCTTCAAACCTTAAAAAAGTGGTTTTGAGAAAAGTATTATTTATCACTTTTTTAAATTATGAATTGGACTAAAAATTATAAATATCTTAAATAAAAAAAAAAAAATAAAACACAGAGAAAGTCTTAGAAAAGAAGATTGTGTTTATTTGCTCGACATAATTTTTCAATAATTCTATTACTCATATTATAGAGGCAAGATTTGATTGCTTGTTTGTTTGCATAGGATAGGCTCCGAAACTGTAAAACCGATTCATAAATGTTTTTCATCTACGGAAAGGTACATAATACGATATGTACATAGACTATAATTTACATAGGCGAAGTTGCCGAGAAACAGCTAGTTTGATAGAAATTAAACATATACTACCTGTTTTCATAAAAAATATACATACTTCTTAAACATAGAAAACCGTCCTTTCGGATTTTGAATTAATCCAAAATATGCACTCTTTGTTTTTTAGGTGAAATACAATACATATCATCTAAATATTTAGGTGATAATACGGTGAAAACCGAATTTGGTTTTGTTATAAAAGGAAAACGACTGATTTGATTTCAATAAAATTTAAATGGGACCACCTCGGTCCACTACGCTGTCGAATAAATAAAAGAATTTTGAAAATCGGTCAACAACTGGCGGAAATATCGGTAAACATACATAAAAAAACATACATCGCCGTCGAACATATAACCTTATTCATCCGTTTGATTTTTGAAATTATTTAAAAATATTGTTACAAATGTGAATTGAATCTCTTAACATCAAGCTATATAAAATAATCATCGATTTAATTCAATGAGAATTAGCTCGGACATATTCTAAATGATGTCCTACCAAAAAAATGTTTTTCAGCCGAAACCAAAACTGTTCTTAATGCCTTAACCGAATAATGAAACCGAAACTTCCTTAAATGCGTTTAAAATATCTAATGTATAATGAAATCTAGTGTATTGTCAGGCTATATACTCGTATATACGTTTGTTTGTTCCTTTAAGGCACTCTAGAAACCAAACGCGTTGGCCGATTAACGATAAAAAACGCATATGTGGTAATAGGAAGTTCTCCGCGTCAGCTTTTAAATAATAAAAAACATATCATTATAAAATAATACATATTAATATATTCAATATTAAACTAAAATAAATATAACATTCTTATAGCTGTCAAATACGGCGGCTTTAGCTTTGAGTTGGGTGATCGCATAAATTGGTGTCTTTAATTTGTAATTATTTGATATGCGTTTCAATAAAATTCTTTTTCGTGTGCTTTAAGGGCTACAGAATAAGAGTTACTATGTTATATACAAAATAATACTGTAATTTAATTTTAGGTGAGGCCTCTATAACTGACGTCACTCACGTGCCGCACTGCGTGCTAATACTATTGATAATGTTATTATCATAAGTAAAAGTTACGATTAAAGAAGAAATTTCGATTAAACAATAATCATAAATATTACAACCATTTTATTTATTGTACGCTAAATATTTAACACTTTTTGATAATAAAGGGGCATAAAACAAATTACTAATTTCAAATAGTATTCAAAATGAGAAAATCACGTCATACAAGTATTTTTTTATGTAAAATAAATTAAAATTTCGCCATTTACATAGAAGAAAATGCGGACCTGGCAGACATTCGTTATCCATGTTCAGTTTTCTACAGAGCGATTCCGTAAAAATCCGAACCCGAATTCCAAAACACTCAGGTCTCCGAATTCACTTCGAAAGCGAATCCACTTAACTTATATCAGTTAGGAAGTCAGATAATTCTATTGATTCCCATTTTGTTTAAAAATACAAAACAAGTTTGATTGACTCATATGTGTCTGACCTGTCAGTTGCAAAAACGTCAATTAAAATTGTCATTAGTTTAAAGTAGTCTTTCCCAAAGTGGGCGATAACGCCCCCTTGTGGGCGCTGCAGGCCTAGAGCAGGCCTAGAAGCTTGGGGGTGGGTGATTTGTAATTTCATTTAGCTAAGAGGCCTCTTAGACACCGACTGCATCAGCTCTCGACTTTCAACTACAACTTGTGAACATCAACTAATATTAGTTAAGAGATTTCTCAAACTCGGTACCATAATTCTCTCAGCGTAGCTCATATATCTATCCTGTCTTATTGAATATATAAAGTAAAAATCATGTCAGCCGGTCGCTCCGTTTCGAAATGAAAGTAGACACAAACAAACAAATAAAAAGGCAACAGACATACTTTCGCATTTTAATAGTTATTAGTACTCCTAGATAGGTATTTTTCTTAGATAGTAGACTGCGGGCAAAATAACCCGACTTGTACATTCCTGTATCAATCGGCTGGTTCATATAATATTTGTTCTTACTCGTTGAGAACGATTAAGCGTCGAATGAGATAAACGAATTTATTGCGTGTTTGTTTTATTCCTGTCGATGCGTGTTGCTTATGCAATCCTTTATAAATAACGTAATATCAATTTTATTTTCATTTGCGGTTTCGCGCGTTATAGAAAGCAGTACCTACTTACATATTTCACAAAACAAAACAATATCGTAAGGATAAAAGAAGAGACTGCAATATTGTGCGAAATATATTGAATTCGGATTCATTGAAAATCCCACAAACCCATCGTCGCCTCTGTGCCCTCGATGTCTAAAAATATTTTCGAATGAAGCAATGAAGTCTTCAAGACTGCAAGATCGTTTGAATAAAATGCATCCAGATAAGAAAGACAAGAATGTGGCATATTTTCAAAACCTAGAGAAAAAGCATAATACTCAGCCAAGTGTAGTAAAACTAATATCGGCAGCTGATAAGCAAGATGACGACGGACTTTGATCTTCATAATATCTCCTCACCGAATCACCAATTCCAGATGTTCTTGCTGTACATTACGTTATTCATTGACGAGGATTTTAACCGTTTGTTGTTTCATACTGATGTTCGTTGGCTATTAAGAGGCAATTGCCTGACTCGATTTTATAACCTGTATTCCCATACCCATTTCAGCAGAAACAATGTTTTTTGTTTTAATTAAATTAAAGTTCATCACCTTGCAGTTGGTCATTCATATCGTTGAACAATTTATACAGGTCTGTCATGGAAACTAAAAATACAGAATGGCACAACAAACTCATTACATCGAAAAATGATATAGTTTACATGACAAACCTGTATAAATTATTCAAAGATATGATAAATATTCAAAGATATGTCCAACTTCAAGATGATATCTTCATAAACTTTAATTTTATTAAAACAAAAAATATCGTTTCTGCTTTCGCAGCCAAACTGCTTCTACACAAAAAGAATATGAGTAGACGAGAGTTTCACAATTTTCCGAATTTATTAAAATCCTGCAGTAACGATGATTTATTTGCTTACTGCCAACATTTGGACATCCTTCTTACTTCACTCAACCATATGGACTTCACCAAACGATATCAGGACATTTTGAACTTAGAAATACCATTCGTTTTCAAATGTCAACACAGCAATGTCATCTCAGCTGGAAGGAGAACTTATACAATTGACAACAAACGAAGACATAAAAATCAAGTTCAAAAATGGTTAGCAAGAATTTTGGCTACAAAAACCGATCCCGCAATTGTACCCTGGATTGTAGTGTCAAATGTAAACACAGCAATGCCACCTCAGCTCGAAGGAGAAATTATACAATTGACAACAAACGAAGACATAAAAATCAAGTTCAAAAATTTTTACCAAGAATTTTGGCTACAAAAACCGATCCCGCAATTGTACCCTGGATTGTAGTCAATCGTTCAACGATTCTAGACAGCATTCTCATCATCATATTTGTGTAAACGTGGATTTAATGCTGTGGCAACACTGCTTATTAAAAAGAGAAATCGTTTGCATGTTACCGAACGTGGTGACTTGCGGCAGTTCCTGAGTAATTGGAACCTGATATCAACAGACTTATTAAACAGCATCAGATTCATCCTTCACATTTGTTTTTATATAAGAATCAATTATGTTTGTTTTATTTTGAATAATATAGACTCTGTTTGAATACTATAAAGTTCCATTTCAATAATCAGTTTCATTGGCAGGTGTAGCCCGTAAGAGTTAACTTGAGACCTGAGCGCCGTTGTGTATTACGCTTAGATTTCAAGTTAACTCTTGCGAGTTATAGTAAGTTTCGTTAAAAATTAATATTTAATCTCCGCTAAAATAGCTTTGAATAATAAATTAATTTAATTTGAAGTTATAGTGTTTTTTAAGTAGGTGAAAAAATGAGGCCGCTTAAAAATAATTTGTACTCATAGTGGGCAGTAGACAAAATAAGTTTAAGAAACCCTGGTTTAGGTGTTTCCAAGTTTAAGTGATTACCAAAAGACAATGCCAAAATATATAAATGAAAGAAATATCGTCATGATATTCGCTAAGATGTCGTATCCTATGGCTAGAATCATATCTAGAGTCAGGTAGCCACATCTTTGAACTAAAAACGAACCGAACGTTTGAGTGTCGCTATTAATTTGTATGAAAGGCGCGCGTTCGGGTTTTCGAATCGAATTCGATCAGGAACCCGAACACGGAAACAGCTTAGATCGGCGACTAATAAGGTACTAATTTTAATAATGTAACCTTTATTGAACTTGGTTCTACCAATTTATTTATCAAATAAAATTGGTCAATCGTCTTAAAGACAAGAAAAAGATGTTTGCTACTGTAAATAAATAACAAAACATGACGTCATGTAAGCAATAACGACGCGAATTTCCCGCCAAAGCCGGTTTTGGACGATTTCGCTATATGATTACAAATACCTACACCAACGTAAGCAGAATTATTTCACAAATCGATAAGCATATATTGATAAGCCTTATTATTAGTCAGTTAAAAACCCGACATTTAGACATCCCGATATACTGACCACAAAAGATTTTCCAATAATAAGAACTTTGATTAATTATAGCCATCAGCGAAACAATTAAGCCACTGCAATAAACTAAACATCACTTATCAATATATTGTCAATTTATTAGAGTAGATTCATAACAATTATATCAATACCTTATTTATTATTCAGCTGTATTCCTATTGAGTTAAGTTGATAGGACATTAGACTATTTTTTTTTATCTTTAAAAGGGTGCAATTGCAGATTTAAGGAAGGGTGGAGCTATTAAAGTGCACCATGCACTTTAATAGCTTCACCTTTCTTCAATTACTGCAATTGCACCCTTTTAAAGATTAAAAAAAAATAGTCTAATCTTTCTCTATGAAGATTGCATTGAAATTACATGAAAAGCTTAAAGTTGATTACGAAAGACCACACAGCAATCTAGGAAGACAGTCCAAATATATATAGCTTAGTACTTACGAGTAATTATTTGTCCTTGATTTTTGCTGCGCTGACAGCAGCGGCAAAGAAGCACCAGTACCACTATAATGCCAATCAATGATAAGATGATTGTCAGCCACTCCATCATGCCCAACTTACGAAAGTAGTGGTGATGCTGCAAACAACAATATACATTTCCTAAAAATATCACTTAAGCAAGTTTTGAAATGTTCAAAGTTGGTTCCGATCCTGATTTTTTTAAGAGTATAATCACTAGATTTGATGTTTGTAAGTATATATATTTTATTTTATTTCATTGATTTAATAATGGTCATATATTATTAGACACGTCTATATCAAAAATAGCTTTTTGAAAAGACTAAAACTGACTTTAAAAAAATATCTTATATATTACAAAGACAAATTAACTAAAGAAACTTCATGCGAAGTTATCAGTTAAAAGTATGACCAGCAAATCCCTAATTACCTCACTAGAATTTTTAGTGATGAAGACATTATCAACATAATTTAGATACATTTTTAACGGGACCCTCTTCACAACATACCTATAGAATAGAATATACCTTTCTCAAAAAAAAAGAATTCTTAATGAAAATTGCTTAAAAATTAACTTGATCCTTGGCATCCTGGCTGATGAGCACCATTTTAAAGCAAGCATGCATTTTTCATTAAGAATATTTTCAGTGTAGCAATGAATGCAAATGCGAAATTGATGAAATATAACAAAAAGAATTTTCAAAATCCAATTCTATTGATAAAGATAATAACATTCAGGTGGATTGAAAATCTCCTTTCTTGAAGTCTAGTAAAAGGTAGTATTTATAAATTAAATAAAGTGATAAAATATCCTCTTCCTTTGTTGTCTCTTAGTAAAGTTATCAAATAGTTTAGTATATGGATAATTATTTAGTTACAAAAATTATGCTGCTCAAATTATATATTGAAATTAATTGCTTAATATTATTCCATTACTTAAACTTCCATTAATATATCTGTTTTGTCTAGGTATATGATTAGAAGTAAAAAATGCACCATGCTTATTAAAAAAATACTTTAATTAGAATATAAAAACAGGCAAGACATTGTTATTTACATATACTCACGCCACAATGAAACAATTACCAAACCAAATAGATTTGCTAAGAATATTAGAAGTATTATTTACACTTTTACATATTATAATTTAATCAATGACTAAGCTTTGGATTAAGATAGATCAGCAGTGAGAGGACATAAACCGTACAAAACAAATGTAACTGAGAAAAGACAGAATGTCAAATAAATGAATGTGTGTATTAAATAAGTTTCGTAGTACCTATTTTGATGTTGTCATGGTCTTGGCAACATATAGATATTGTGCAACACTGATAATTCATGATACTTATCAAGTTACAAACTTACCTAGCATTTCCAAGGGTCAAATGCATGTCTGTCATGCATAGTTATCAGTTTTTACAATAACAACAATTTCTCTATATAATACACAAGATACAAGACACTGAAGTCAAACAAACGATTTATGGCGAAGACCCACCTGCCTAGAATAACTGTCATCATCATCATCAAAATCACTCGAATACATCGTTTTGTTTTTAAACAATACTGCAGCGTTTGCTATCTATCCACTTAGCTTTACGTTCACCGGGAAACTGCCAAAGCTGCGAGAGAAACCACATGCAAGATACAACATTATGAATCATCAGCAACACTATCAGATCGGGGTAAAAACCCGAAGAAAAAAACTTTTAACTACTAAATATTACCTTCGCACTCATTAAATCAGTCGGTGCAAACGGCAATTCGTCCCTGAGGGTGCTGAGTAATTAACTTAATACCAAATACTTGAGCTATTATAGTAAATTAATAACATAACACATTTGTACTCACCTTTAATAATGTGTGAACAAAACAATGAAAAACAGTGATCGCCCACCCTGGAATGTGACAGTGACAGCGACAGCAATCAGTGATATCTATAGTTTGTGGTGATATCAGCACAGACTTGATATCAGTGGTTGAGAATGAGTGTGAGATCGTTGAGCTGCACTCGAAAATCGGTATACTTTTTGTCAATATCGGTTTATGACAAATAATACATGTAACAAATTCATTTATTGGTCGAAAAGTACCTGGTTATTTTTGAATTAACTTCCATATAGCTAGCATTATTCAATGTTATCAAAAAGTCAATAATTTAAATATTTTTAAATATATTAATATTCTTGCAATAGCCCAACGATTGACTTAGTGGATTAGTATAAAACTTTGTTTTTTAAGTTTTAAGAGTTTTATGGTTTTATTCATCCGCTTACTTTGAACATATAAACGTTGCAACGCGTTGGCGGATAAAAATATTAAAGATAAAAGTAGACAACAAAGGAAACATTTGAGAGTTATTGCTACGTTTTAACACATTTATTTCATTCCGAAATAGTTCTACGGTGGTTCCGCAACATCACGAAATTTGATAAATGAAAAATTCGATTTAATACATATTAAAAAACATTTTGTTAATAAAAATATTTACTTACTTATTGACAAAATCAATATAACGTTCTTACAGCTGTGGCTGACGTCAGGTAGACCCTTTAAACATTGATCCATTACGGGAAAATAATGACTTCGAAGAAGGCTGTAAAGGCTAGAATCCTTTATATTTAAAAATTAACAACAAAAAATAAAAATGTCATCACATAACCTCAAATAGGGCGATTTATAATTAGAAAATTTTAATATCTTTACTCTATTTTGATAGAACATGTATCGCACATTTTCAAGTCAAAGTTTACTATTATTACGGCAAATCGTTAATACAAATCCTGTTTCTTTTTTTCATACAGTTCCATCATGTTTCGCCGCTGTGAAGAAAACCTCCGCTGCTGGAGGTAAACAAACACAAAATACTTGTTTTCCACAATTTAACTATATAGTATAATTCTATCAGCGGCGGCCTTAGGGGGTGGCGAACGGGGCAATCGCCCGGGGCCTCACTCTTCCGGGGCCTCGCGCAACAAGTCAAACAAATTTAAAAATACATATATTTTTAACAATATTTTTTAAATCTACAATTTTTTATTTTGACCCATAATTGCTCATGCAGTTATATATTATAACATAGCAGTTAATTAAAATAAAGTTTGTTAACTAAATCTTTCATTCTAAACATAATTGAATACCTCTTCGAACCACTTGAAGAATGGTTTTTTTATTACATAACACTTTGTATAACTTAAGCATTTCTCCTCGAACATGACAAATACTTCACCCAAACAACCAGACCTACTATCGAATCACATAATTTTCACGAAAGACAAAGAGCCTTGCAAAGACCTGCCACCCGGAGCCTCTCAATGGCTAAGGCCGCCGCTGAATTCTATTATATTGTATTTGAAATTGAGAGAATAGCATAGGATAGAATAAATAGGCAGTAAATAATTATTATTAGATAGCAAAAAAAAACTCCCTTTTCGATTATATCCATAGTTGGTCATTTGTTTGTTGTGGTGGTTCCTTGCTGATATGCATAAATAAATAAATAAAAAAGCCTTTATTATTCCATTTGGCATGTGTACAGTACATGTTAGTAGGTTATCGTTAAGTATCCTCTAGTCTAATGCCACCTGGACCCCTCTACGGGTGAAGGCCTCCTCCAGAGATTGCCACTTAACGCGGTTTTTTGCCAGAATTGGCCAATTTCTTGTACCGAATGATTCTATTTCGTCCTTCCATCTCCCTTTTGGTCGGCCTCTGCTTCTATATCCATGGGGACCACTCCACATAGTCACAGTCTTTGTCCACCTCTTATCAGTGTAGCGTGCCACGTGGCCCGCCCACCTCCATTTCAGGCCACGAGCGAAGGACAAGACATCTATCACACCAGTCTGCTTTCTTATTTTCCCATGGCGAACCCTGTCCTTTAGCTTGATGTTTAGTGAATTACGTTCTAAGCCTCTTTGACACGATGTGAGTTTTCTTCTGGTTATGGTATCAAATATCCACGTTTGACATCCATAAGCGAGACAGGGCAAGAGACATGAGTCCATTACTTTCTTTTTTAATTTTAAGTCCATGTTAAACTTCATAACTTCTTTGTAGCTCCAGAACTTTCTCCACGTGATTGCTATTCGCCTGTCTATTTCTTCTCTGTTGTTATTTTTGCGAAAGGAAACTTGTTTGCCTAGATAAATATATTCGTCTACATACTCAACCACATTATTGTTTATAAGAATAGGAGTTCTGTGATGATTAGACATGATTTTTGTTTTTGAGATATTCATTTCTAGGCCCACGCTCGTGCTTGCGTTGTTAAGTTGTGACATCATGGATTGGAGCTCTGTGGGGCTTTCTGAGAAAAGCATAATGTCGTCTGCGAAACATAGATGGTGAAGACGTTCCCTGTCGATTTTTAAGCCTTTGCTTTCCCAAGATAGATTTTTCATTGTGTTTTGGAGGACTGATATGAATAATTTAGGTGACAGTGGATCGCCTTGTCTAACTCCTCTGTTAATTTCTATTCTTTGTCCTGAATTTTATAACTTGACTTTGCTAGTACTGTTTTCGTAGATGTGTTTGATGATTCTGATGTATTTAGTGTTTATATTTTGATCATAAAGGGCATTCCAAATGCTTCGATGAGATATAGAGTGCCTTCTTATAGTCAATGAAAGCTAGATATAATGGTCTGCGAAATTCATAATATTTTCAATTATTTGCTCTAATACTTGTATGTGGTCAATTGTGCTGAACGATTTTCTAAACCTTGCTTGTTCTTTTGGTTGGTAGTTTTCTATGTCATTGTTGAGTCTTTCCAGTAGGCAACTAGCGAAAAGTTTATATAAACATGGCATTATACTTATGGGCCTGTAATTTCCCACGTCTGTGGGGTCGCCCTTTTTATACATCAGTATTATTTCTGACTCAGTCCATGTCTTCGGAACAGTTTCTTCATCAAGAATTTTGTTAAATAATCTCGTTAAGGGGTTAAGAATCACTGGTTTTGCTAGTTTTATAGCTTCGTTTGATATCCCGTCGGTGCCTTGGCTTTTGTGCTCTTTTAATTTCTCCAATTTACTTAATATGTCGATCTCTTTAAAGTACTGATATGCATATAAAGTCAAAAGATTGTCACTGTCTATCTCATTGGGCCCGACAAAAATATGCTTAAGGAAAAAGGGTGATGAAATTTTTTAATTATTTACAACAAAAATTGTAAAATTGGAAGGTTACAAATTTTGGTGTGATTTATTACCTTTTTGTTTTACTCATTTACAATATTACTTTCTTATTCAAAGGTGTAATGGGCCTTGGTAAAGGCAAAAAGAAGGGAGGCAAACTTGGAACCATGGAAAAAACAGAGTTACCAGTGGAGACTGACCCTGAAAAACTTGTAAATTATGTTTGTGGGTCCAACATTTATACCACTGGTGAAGATATCAAGGTGATTATTACCACAGATATTATAATTGGTACCTATATTATACTATCTATTTACCAACAGTTATCACAGATTTGTTTAAAAACCCTTTTGATGCTATGGCAACTATAAAGAAAGTATTATTCTGTCTTGGGAATTAGTTGCAACAAAAGGTTTTTTTTATACACAACCAGTTACCAATTATTATATAATTTATTTATTATCGGCATGAGACGATGCACAGCATCTGTGAGAGTGCGTCGACTTCCGGTCTAGCTACTTTCGTTCTTTACACTCACCCCCCCACTATGGTTGTTGTGACAACCTTATTTAAATTAATAATTGGATTGACTTACTTCCGGTTGGCGCCATGTTTAGTCACCTTAGGAGTTTCTGGTGCACCAAGTCCTCATAGCGTTGTCAACTTTCGTGCTAGCAACATTATAAGCAGATATTCTGCTAAATATTTATCTGAAACTTTTCCTCTTGTTTAAAAAGATACTTAATAATAAGAATAAAATATGAGCAAGTGTAATTCAAGTGATAGTGAAGTTTATATGATGGTGGTCGGTGACGTACATGCCGACCGCGCTTCGAACGAGGGCTGCTCCGTCCAACAACAGGAGAGCAGAAAGTGGCCTGCAAGTACAGAGGGTACTTCCGAATCAGAGGTAAAGCGAAGCAGACAATGTATGTTGGATATCGACAATTTAATATGCTATTGAACCAAATGAGTGTTTTAACCAATCTTTTAATTAATAATTCCAATAACGTGCCTCCATCTAAAAATAACGATCAGACTGACTCAAATCAACTATCCGCTACTATCAAAGAAAATAACCTGGAATTGAATATTGGAATAATGAATACTTGGGTGAAAAAACCGAAAGAACTTGGCTCTGACCCCTCTAGAATTAAACAATTGGAGGAATTGAAAAAAAATTATGATGTTAATTGGAAGGAGGTTCGGTATTCTGATGCTTTAAAATCTCATAGTGCTTATCCTGGTTTTGTTGAACTTTGTATTAATGAAAGGCTACGTCAATATATAAAAGGCAGACATATCTCGGCTCCCGTAGAACGAGCTTTAGCCGCCATTTCGAATGCATTACTCTCTCAACACGAGTGCCTCAAGCAACAAATACAGGACTTTGTTATCTGGGCAGCTGTGCCCAATATCCATCCAAGCTTAATCCATCTAACGTGTTTGATAATATATCCGATTTATTTAATGAAAAGTCAAAATTCCATAAAACTAGTGAAGATATAATGCAAATAGTTTGTGGCAAACGTGCGGAGTGAGTTAATAATAAGCCCTTTCGAACAGATCAAACACAAAGAGTCGGGAAACCGGAACGTTCCCCTATAACCGTTAAATCTGCTAATTTTACAAAAATCTGAAAAGTCAATCAAAAGGATTTACCAATGATAAGAAAAATTCAAATGACTATCAAACCTTCCACAGTTTATTTTATGGAGGCTGTCTCCGAGCATATCGGAGGCAGTGACAGACGCATCAGGCTCCGAAGGCTATCCTGAATATGATATCAGGGATGCGTATCCCATTAACCTCCAGGCCTGTGCTTGTCCCAGCAACACAGTCCAATCTTCTGCGGTTTAGCACACCCGAGTCGTCAGTTATGACCACACAAATCGAGACCTTGCTATCACAACGAGTTCTCGAAAAACTGAATTTAAGTCAGATGGGTATGAGTTTCTTCTCGACAGTATTTCTTCAAAAGGAAACCGATTGCTCCTACAGACCGATTTTCAATCTCAAACACCTAAATCAATACATAAGTCCAAAGAAATTTCGGTTGATTTCTCATTTCCAAATCCCGAAATTTCTAGAGTCAAGAATGGATAGTGAAAATAGATCTTTCATCAGCTTACTTTCACGTACCAATAATTGGCTACCATCGCCGGTTCCTACGCCTCATTTACCAGGGGGAAGTTTACCAGAAGACCAGTCTTCCTTCCGGACTGTCATGTGCACCAAAAAATTTCGCCACAATCACCAATTGGGTGACTCATGTGCTTCGGAGGAAAGGTATAAGAGTCCTTGTCTATCTCGACGATTTTTTATTAGTCAACCAATCGAAAGAGTTGTTAGAAAAGGAGGTGCATGTTGCAAATCAGCTGCTACAGCAGTTGGGCTGGACCATCAATCGCGAAAAATCGATATTCACTCCTACATAGGAGCTGGAGTATCTAGGCATTACGTGGAACACTATCAAGAACTTCAATCTCCCCCTCTACGCAAAGTAAAATCGATATGTCCTTAGCGAACAGCATGTGCAAAGCACCAACCCTGAAGGTATGCCAATAACTATTGGGAACTCTCAATTTTGCCAGTTTTGCAACACCAGCGGGGAGACTGCATTGCAGACATCTACATAGATATTATCGAAAACTGATTCGATCAACAGGTCAGTCAAAAACTGTTACCTCAGAAATAATGACGGACTTGAACTAGTGGAAGATGGCAATAAAAGAAGGTCTGACGAGCAGCCCCTTACACGAGATCCCTGTACAATATTTTTTGACGACAGATGCGGTTACGGCTGGGGAGCTCAATTAGACGACAAATCTATAGCAGGCAAGTGGAACCAAAATCAAATAAATTGGCATTGCAACTTGAAAGAAATGTTTGCTATAATATCCGAGGTGAAACACTTCAAACATACTTTAAGAACTCTGCATGTAATTCTGCAGTCAGATAATCGAACCGTAGTTGCTTACATCCGAAACGAGGGAGGAACAAAGTCAGAAACTTTACTGGAATTGACCCACGAGCTTTTTCAAATACTGTACCAATTGAAGATAATACTCACGGCGGAATACCTGCCTGGCCGATACTATCAGATAGCAGACAGTTTGTCGAGAGGCAAGAAATCTGCGGAATGGCATCTACTACCAGAGGCATTACAACCGATCTTTCAGAAGTACGGGATTTCGGAGATAGATCTTTTTGCATCAAAGAACACGAAAGTGGTAACAGCTTATGTATCTAAATTTGCGAGCGACTCTTCAGCAGTTATCTGCAACGCCTTCAGCAAAAGTTGAGCAACTTCAATTTGGCATGGGTTTTCCCACCACCTTCACTGATGCCCAGAGTGCTTATTCATCTGAATCAAGCACAAGGTATGTACCTGTAAGTAGCACCACTTTGGAAACGAACCTACTGGCTACCCGATCTTCGGAAACGCGCGTTAGCACGTCCCATGAAAGTAAAGAACCTACACCGTGTCCTGATAGATCAGGTAACAGGCCTACCACCTCCTCAAGTTCAGGACATGAAGCTTTTAGTATGGAAAGTTGTGTGTGGGCCGAAGCAATAAAGGATTGGACAAAAAATGAGAAAACAAGCACAGTTGGAGGGAATCTACTCTTAAGTCATATAGACCAGCCTGGCTTCGCTGGACCCAATGGTGTAAGGACTTCAATTTTGATTATAGATATCCTAATAGTGATTCTCTTTTAAAATATGTATCACATCTCCACTTAAAAGAAAAAATGTCTTTCTCGACTATTACTATTACACAAATCTGTTATTTTAACTTTAGGCTCCCTTAGAGAAGATCTAGATTCAAATTTCTTTTTAAAACACATACTTAAAGGAGTTTCCCTACAGCAACCTTCGACTCGGAAGGCTCCTACTTAGAATCCATCCGACCTGACTTCCTGGTTAAGCTCAAATTCACCTGTGCAGCTAAACCTGTTTGAAGCTTCCCGTAGACTAGCTTGTATATTACTATTAGCATCTGGTAGTAGGGTGCATGATTTAACATTATTAAGTGTAACTCCCGAACTCTTCAATGATATGGGTGATCATATAATATGGTGGCCTAAGTTCGGGTCCAAAACTGATACCACTAAATACAGGCAGTCGGGTTGGAAACTAACAACCAACAGAAATAAAAAATCTGTCCAGTGTTCTGGTTGCGTAAAGTTTCAGAAATTGGTAAACAGAGAAGAACAGCGGAGTGTAACAGTGCCTTATTTATTTCCATCACGGGTGAAACAAAAGCAGCTACTAGAACCCTTATCGCTTATGGGATAAAGACTGTATTCAAGGATGCAGGTATTAAAGCATCCCCAGGAAGTGTACATTCCGCTGTGGCTTCGTTGAATTGGTGGAATTACTTGCCTATTGATGATATTCTTTCACGGGGTAACTGGCGAAGTGAAAATACTTTCGCAAAATTTTACTGCAAACAAATTAGAAATGGATCTATTTCGAAAAATTCAAGTAATGTCTTGATTAAAAATTTTCAACCAGTTCAATGAAAATATTATTCATAAAATTTTGTATAAAATACCTATGAAATGTTTACAATGGTAACATTATGCATGAATTAATGTTACATGTATAAGTATAATAGTTAATGATTTTGTCATAATTATAACATAATTATAAGTAAATAATAGGTTGATAAGTTTGTCCAAAATATTAAAATGGTATTTTGATACTGTTTTACATCGATTAAACGTAATAAAACATGATGGCACCATCTTTTCAATTGCATAACATAACAAATATGTAAAAGTTATGTTTCAGGCACATTAAATATAAAACGGACGAATAATCGTCGTCACATATCGTCATCAGCATCCCTGGTCACAAGGAGCTAATAAACACGTCTCTCACAGATGCTGTGCATCGTCACATGCCGATAATAGTACAATTTTTACATAAAAATAAATCTTGTATTATAGAGCAGAGAAGATGCATAGCATAAAATTAAGGTCTCCTGGTGAGAGACTCGGTGCACCAGAAACTCCTAAGGTGACTAAACATGGCGCCAAACGGAAGTAAGTCAATCTAATTATTAATTTAAATAAGGTTGCCACGACAACCATAGTGGAGGGGTGAGTGTAAAGAACGGAAGTACCTAGACCGGAAGTCGACGCACTCTCACAGATGCTGTGCATCGTCTCTGCTCTACAATACAAGTTTAATTTTTATGTAAAACTTATACTAATAAAAAGCAGTGTTACATAGATTTTACTATTCTAACTTCCAGTTAAAAGAAGACAGTGAGTACCCAGAATGGTTGTGGTCTCTCAATACAGGTGCTCCACCACGCATACAGGACTTAGATCCAAACAGTAAGCAATACTGGATACGTGTGCGGGCTGCGGGCATGAAACGCAACAATAAGCTGCGTTCACTGCGCAAATTTTAAACGTAGATGCAAGAGGATAATAAACATTTTTTTTTTGCTTTAAGATGAATTACCATCTTGTTATGAAATTATTCCTTTGACGTTGTTTGTTACATTAGATATATTTTAATATTGTAAATAGAACACACCCCATATACCTATATGATGTAACCATAGTGTTTAGTTTTCTAAGTAGCAAAAATAAAATAATTTTGCAGTTTCAAAAGTATATTTTTGTCTGATTATTTCAAGCACTTTAAAAGTTTTAACACATTACTAATTTAAAACAGTACTAGAGGAAAAAAATAACAATCCACATTACATTACTTGATGTCACTTATCAACTTTACATGTTACAAAATACATTACTTAAACATTTTATACCAAACCTTCTTTTCTATTCGCAAAGTACATTTTACACCGAACAAAAAAAAAATACAAAGCAAGAAACTCTTCGATTGGTTAGTCATTTCAAATTCTAAATATTCATATTATATAATAGAAAAAAGAAAAACTATAAATATGTATAGAAAAATCTTGCGACTAGATTTTATTTCGTTTTCTTTTAATTTTCGTATTTCTCTTATAATTAATACAGGGAACTTTTATTTTGATCATAGTTGATAAAACTTAGTTTTTTGTACAACAAGGCCCGGATGTAGGTCAAAGGGGCAAGTACCCTCAACATGCCCCGGGCACCAGTGTTAGGGGGGTGCCAAATTCGTGTTAATAATTCTGTGCCCTGATAGGAAAAAGTTGTAGAACCGGGCCTGTCGTACAGTGTCGTTAACCATAGCCCATACATGACCACATAATAATGTTATAAGCAGTCCATGGTGTCTTCTTTAACGATCATCGGCGGTGCGCAATCTCCATGCTTAGTTCCAAACGAGTAGGCATATGGATTCTGAAAAATATCAGTAATGATGATTGATTTTAATAAACGAAATCCATCTGGGAAACATACTGTAGGGGTGGTACACAGCACAACATACAACTTATCAAAGGAAGCTAAAGCTGGATTATATGCTCGGACGGATATGATTTTACTTTAATTAAAATAAATGTAGCCGAAATGCAAGCGTTACGTACTACTTACAGAGTCGATAATTAAAAATTATAAAAATGACTTATCCTGAGATGTCACTTGTCAGTGTCTGTTTTTGTGGTGCCTGATCTATTAGTTCGGAGTCGTGGAAAGTCGTGAGAAATGTTGAGTAGACAAATATACATACCTTCTTTGTATTATAGAGGTGAGGTGGATAGGCGGCGGGGCCAGGTGTACGCGTGGCCTTACCGGCGCCTTCTAGGCGTGCGCCCAGGGAATATATTGGACTCCTTCAAAGTAAAGACATTTAAAGACGTGTATATCCACATTGCAAGAGTGCTCGTTTGATGCAGCAGTAGAGAACCAGAATCTCGAAGCGTTCAATCTGCCTCTACAGCCACGTATCTACGTCGCAACTTGCGACTCACAAGCCTGCTAGTTTGAATGGTAAGCCTCGCATTCATTTTATGCATTGACCGAACGGGGAATCTCGAGGACCTCAGAGATGGCGACACCTTGAGACCGGCGTGTGAGACATGGCTGCAGAGGACGGAGGTATATGTACTCGTAGAGTTTGGCAAGCGAAACGTGACACCACCTATTTTTCCGTTTTCATATGGCAACAACATAGAACTGTCAGTTTGACACTACGTTAGACAATTCAAGAATATTGAATTTTGTTGTTTTTGCGAATTTGAACTTGTGTTTTTGGTTAAAAATTATGTCGAAGCCGATAAAAAGTTCATCGAGGAAACTTCTTTCCATCATGATTGACAAGTTTACTGAAGTGAAAACTGAATTAAATAAAAATTTCATGGAGAAATTACAACGATTAGATAAAGTTGTATCTTTTTTAGGTTAGTTTTGTATTATAATTTTGATACTTTCGTTTTAATTTTCTGTAATTAACTAAACAGATATTTTTTATAAAATATTGCTCTATTTCAGATAACTGTGATGGTGATATTCAACCAATAATGGAGGAGATAAATGCAATAAAAACTTTAGAAAAACAAGAAATGCTGAATTCGGAAACGCAGTACTTACAAAAAATTTCTTCAATGACAGGTCTCTTTTCTTGTTTTGATTTAAGATAGATTGATAGTATTCCTATAATATTTACATAGGTTTTTTATGATGTATTGGTTTTTATTGTTGACATCCAATGATGTCATAAGAATGTTTTGTTTAACAAGGAAATTCACAGAATTCATGAAACTAATCAAACCATGTAATTGTTATACATGCTAAATATGCACATAAACTTAACTAAATTAAACATAAATTGCATTCATAGTTGAATAGGTATTTAAATTATTTTGATGTATGTGTCTATCATTATTTGCTTTTAAATACATTTAACATATCTTTGTTTCAAAGTGTTTAATCTTTTATAGATGTAAGTATAAGGACACTAAGAAGGATAAAAAATGAAGCATTAATTAATAAAGGAAAATGGGACACTCCTGGGAAAAAACGACCTCATCAACCAACAGTGTCTGCTTTAGATAATTTTGATTTAAGTGCAATTCGGAATAAAGTAAATGAATTTTACTGTGTGAAAAAAATTGTTCCAACATTAAGAAGCCTTCACAATGAATTAAAAGATGCAATAGGATTCAGTGGTAGCCGTGAGACTTTACGAAAAATTATTCTTAAGAATGGATTTTCTTTTAAAAGCAATGAAAATGAACGTTCTATGCTTATAGAAAAATACCAGATTTCTGCATGGAGGCACAAGTATTTGAGAGAAATAAATATAAAACGAAACGAAGGAAAGCAAATTGTGTACCTTGATGAAACTTATGTACATCAGAATTATAAAGTTAAAAAGTCTTGGCAAGGACCTTCAACAACTGGTGTCACTACAAAGATATCCTCTGGAAAACGGCATATTGTTGTGCATGCTGGATCTGAGGAAGGTTTTGTGCCTGGTGCATTATTAGTGTTCAGTAGTAAATCCAAATCTGCTGATTATCATGATGATATGAACTCATCGAACTTTATGAAATGGGTCAGAGAAAAATTAATACCAAATTTAAGTAAGCCCAGTGTAATTGTTATGGATAATGCCAGCTACCATATAAAACAAATCAATAAACCGCCTATAATGTCTAATACCAAAGCAGATATCCGTAAATGGCTTGTAAATAATGGAATACATTTTGAGGAATATCAGACAAAGGCAGAGTTAATGTGTTTGGTTAATGATAAGAAAACATTGCCTGTATATGAAGCTGAAGAGATTTTAAAAGAACATAATCATGAACTTTTATTGCTGCCACCGTATCATTGTGACTTAAACCCAATAGAGATGGTTTGGAGTCAAGCAAAAAGAAAAATTGCAAGCAGAAACATTGGAATACCAGGAAAGGAAATGGAAAACTTAATAATAGAGTGTTTTAACTTAATTACCCCTAGTGACTGGAAGAAATACACTGATCATGTTTTAAATGTCGAAAATGATTACAAATTAAAAGATGGCATTGTTGAAAACGAACTTGAAAAATTTATTATATCTGTTGGTGCAGACAGTAGTGAAGAGAGTGACTCTGATGATTCCTTGTCATTGTTATCAGGTGTAGAATATTTAGAAACAGATTTTGACTATGAATCAGACTAAAGTATTTTTAGTCTGATTCATAGTCAAAATCTTATCTTAAATTTTCTATTGTGATTAACATGATGATTTTGTGACACCTGTATTATGTAATTTATCCATGGCACTTAATTGTAACAAAAATAAATGTTTTTTTTATTGTAATCTGGTGTTTATATTGACTAATTTAATTTGATAGATAGTGGTTCTGGATCAGAGCAAAAGGTTGTGATGAAAATCCCTTAGGAGACATGTATGTGTTATGAACACATTATAAATATAAGGGCCAGAAATCAAAATTGGCTAACATCACATTTATTAAAAAAATGTGGCCAGAGTCGCCCATATTCATTACAAAAAAACAAAGAAGTCGTTGCAAAAAACACCCTTTTAATTAATGACAAATATGAATTTTTAATATTATAAGTGCTGTTAGCCAATAGGTATAACGAATGGGTTAAAAAAAAGATTCGATTTAGTCCGTCAGTCAGATAATAGAAAAATATTGGATACGTATTTTTTTTCGCTTTAATTTAACAACAAATGGCTTAAGAGGTACTATGCGACGACTTCAAATATGCTTTGCAACAATGTTACTTTAATACAGTTTATCGATACGAAATCAAGTGTCAAAATGGAGTCCAGTGGAGAATGCCGATATTGACATTTCGAAATTGCTCATCATTGATAGAGAATACGAAATAGTGATTTTGACACAATCAAAGTGTCTATTTTTTACGGTGATGACGATTCTTGGTTGTCAGTTGAGTTAGTGAATAGGCCTACTGATATGCTGTTAACTGTACAATTAAGAACAGTCACGCTTTAGTCAAATGTTCCAAAACAAATAATTTTAATTGATATCTAAATGTTAAGATTAAATATAATTAATAAAAGTATCAAAATTATTTTGCAGTACTACATTCAGTGTTTACTGCTTAAGAATTTTTGAAATTGCCGCCCTTTTCTTGTGACACGTTTCGCTTGCCAGACTCTACCGAAGCACCTTATGACTAGATGCATGTACTTCTTTACTAATGTATAATGATCAAACGAACATACCAAGTGAAGTTTGTTGGAACGCTTCGCAGCTTCATTCGAAGCGATTTATACACAATATTTCACCATAAATCGCTTCGAATGAAGATGCGAAACATAATTCTGTTATCTTCCTTCAAGAACTCACTTATTTTTGTAAACGTCAGCATCTCTCTGGAAATAGACCGCAGGTCCCGGAGATTTAGCCTTCAGATTGAAACCTATCCTCGCGCCCATCGTATACGCTGGCGTCCCTGAACCTAAACGCAAAGCGTATGCGTTTGGGGCGGGTCCTGGCCTCTTGAGAGCGAACCCGAGTCTTGCCCCCATAGAGTAGACCGGAGCACGGGGCTCGCGC